ACACTGGTGCGTCCAATTGCGAATCTTGCGACGCCCGGGGTTTTACATTTTGGTCCTTTCGGAGCCGTCCGACTAACACTAAATATATTCATAAAGCGCCATTTTGGGACCGTGTGACCATTGCAGTACCAGCGAAACCACAGAAATACAGTCCACCGTCAAAGCGAGTTTGCCACAAAAGCGAATTAACCAAGACATCACAAACCGCACCTGTGCATCAATCAACAAATACCACTTTCTATTGAGCTTCCTCACACCAAAGTCACCGACGAAACAAGGTACGTGGTTACACACATATTCAAGTGCACTTTCAAAAAATAAAAAATAAAAATAAAACATCATACATCTATTTATTTTGTGAGCAATTGTGCTATATTTATATTGCATAGAAAGCACACGCAATTGCAAACGAGATTCACGCGGGTGATTTTGTGAGGAGCGAAAATTTGTGCATAGCTATTAAAATTACCAAACGAGCTAATTCCGTCTGTCCGCGAGTGACAAAGACGGCTCAGATTGGTTGCAAAGTGCACATTTTCAATTGCAGTCAATTAATTTTCAGTTGCGTTGATATTATTTGTTTAATTCAATTAGTTCAAATAATTTCCCGAACCGATTCTGTCTGTCCACGGCTGGTAACAGACAAGTGAAGATACACACACATACACACATAAACGACAGTGAAAAGAGGTTATCAGTTGCAATTCATTTGTAATATATGTAATTGACTCTGCCGGTCTTTTGATTACTTCACCACGGATTTAATTTTTATTGTTAGTAAAACGTATTACTACTTGTGCGGCAATAGTTGCAATAAATTCGCGAACCACATTATAATCACTGATCGTCGGAGGACACATAACCTCTTTGTTTGAAACGTGCACGGTAATTTGCCTTTAACAATTGCACTTTCTTCACAAAATCACTTCTGCGTGTGGATCCCTTGCAGTATTAATTTGCGAGTATTATTATTGTCTTGTGAACGTATATGCAAATTACACACATACTTAATAGCAGTTGGGTGGCGAGTCACTTTTTTATATATACAGCATATATACAGCCTTTATATATACCAATCCCTGATAATTGAAAGAGAGAAATATATTGAGTTAAATAAAGTTTTACCATAACTATTTTATATATAAATTTAACGGCTACTTCTTCAATTCCGGAAATTATATCTTTTGTGTGGCGTTTCGACCACAAGAGTTGGTATCTTTTTCAGCGGCAGAAACTTTCGTTTATTGAATACTTGGCGAACAAATTCGATAATCTAAGCATTTATTTTTGTTTAAGAGTAAGGTTGCTATCACATATTAAAGCACATCGTCGAATTTATCTGTGATTGATTTTAATTCAAGTACCATTTTTAAACATGGAGTCGTTCATTCGTTTGGCAGAGGCAATAATCGAATTTGAATCCGATTTTAGCAGCACGCCACCTGCAGAGCAAAATAAACATGGTCTTGCAATACAGCAAGACGAACTGAAAGATATGTGGGAAAAAACTAAACAAGGGTATGATACTATAATAAACAGAGAAGGGTTGTCGAAAGAAGACATTAAGGCCATAAGGAGAAAACATAAAAGCTCGTTCGCTAGCTATGTTAAATGCATGTCTGCCATGGCGAGTCAGTCCGAAACGCTTGTTAACGCAGAAAAGGATGTACAGGATCAGTCGGTCCGTGAACACAATATCCACCTACCTCCGTGTGATACCGATGTGTTCAAGGGTGACTATCTGTCATGGCCATCATTTCGTGATATGTTCACGGCCATATACATCCTTAACAAGCGCCTCACTCCGGTTGAGAAACTATTTCATCTCAACCAAAAGACTCAAGGGGAAGCCAAAGACATCGTGAGAAAGTGTCCACTCACAAACGAAGGCTTCCAAACAGCCTGGAAAAGTTTATGCGAGAGATATGAAAACAAGCGTATCCTCGTAAATACACAACTGAAAATACTTTTCAATTTAAATTCAGTGGAAAATGAGTGTGGTAGCTCAATAAAAAGGTTGCAGCGGGATATAAATAATTGCTTATCGTCCCTAAACAGTCACCAAATTAACGTTTCAAACTGGGATGCAATTTTAGTCTACCTCTGCTCCACCAAACTTCCAGAAAGTACGCTGGCTCTATGGGAACAAACCATAGACCACAAAAATGATATACCAAAGTGGGAGGATATGGACAAGTTCCTATCCAACAGATTTCAAACGCTGGAGACTTTATCAGGCTTAAAAAATTCCAAAGCTGTGAGAGCGCCAAAGCCACAGACACACAAACCAGCAGAAGCCTCCCCAAAACGACTTGGCGTTTTCCAAGCAAGCGTGACCAAGTTCACTTGCATAATGTGCCAGTCCAATGAGCACAAGTTACGCAGCTGTTCCCGCTTCTTAAAGATGACACCATCTGAAAGAATAGAGTTCATGAAAAACAATAACTCTTGCTTGAACTGTCTTAAGTCTGGACATACTGTGTCAAGATGCACATGCTCGTTTAATTGCAGCAAGTGCCACTCCCGACACCACACGCTCCTGCACCTGGAGACTGACCAGCAAAAGCCTACAGCGCACCAAATGCCGCCAAGCTCAACTGGTAATCGAGCATCTACGTCGAAGCAAGCACAAACAAGACGCAAGACAGGAAAACCAAATTCAACTGGGGACAAAAATGTCAAGTCTTGTTTTGCAAATTCAAATACTGGTGTGCTCCTAGGAACAGCGCGCGTAAATATACATTATAATGGAACCGATTTTTCTGCAAGAGCTCTTATTGATTCCGGGTCTGAGTGTTCCTTTATAACGGAAAGACTCAAACGCCGAATCAACCTGCCATCCAAAAGGTTGCATGCCCAAGTTTCCGGCATCACAAATTCCATATCGGCGCAGGTCAAAGAAGCATGCAATATAGAAATACGGTCACCGATTGATCCATTATTCCGGTCGAAAACCACTGTGCTTGTCTTAGCACAACTAACTGGAAATCTTCCAACTACCCATATTAGCGCTGAAACTAAACAAGCATTCCCAGATTTGGTTTTGGCCGATAAAAGGTTCTTTGTTAATGAGCAAGTGGACCTTGTGCTTGGAGGAGATATTTATCCAGAAATCATTTTGAGCGGCTTGAAGAAAAATGTACTTAATACTCTTCTAGCCCAAGAAACCGTGTTCGGTTGGATATTAACCGGCCGCCCAGATGCAACAAGTGCAACCAACCATATTGCTTCATACTTTAGCGAAGTCGCCTTGGATAAGCAGCTTACTGCGTTCTGGGAAGTAGAGGATCTGCCGAAAAGCAAAAGCCTAAGTGAGGAAGACAAGTACTGTGAGGAGTTGTACAAGAATACAACTCAACGTACCCAAGACGGGAAATATGTAGTTTCGCTACCATTCAGGCAGGATTTTCCAGAGAATGTCTGCCTAGGACCCTCCCTAAAAAGAGCGTGCTCACAATTTTTCCGACACGAGACGCGATTGGCCAAGGATCCTGGACTACAAAAGGAATATAACAGGGTATTATCGGAATACGAATCGTTAGGGCATATGTCAAAGCTAATAAATAATATACCAGCAGAGTCCTCCGACAACTATTTCCTGCCTCATCACGCGGTCATCAAGGCAGAAAGCACGTCAACAAAACTTCGCGTGGTTTTTAATGCCTCAAGTCCGACGGCAAATGGTGTAAGCCTCAATGACGTACTGCTCCCAGGACCAGTACTCCAGGCGGATCTTCCCATATTAATCCTACGTTGGAGATTATATAAATACGTCTTCAACAGCGACATCGAGAAGATGTACCGGCAAATTATGGTGCATGACAATCACACTAAGTTCCAGCGCATAGTTTTTCGTACCAATACGAACGAACCGGTCAGTCTTTACGAGCTGAAGACGGTCACTTTCGGGGTTAACTGTGCTCCTTACTTGGCAATAAGGACACTTTTACAACTAGCTGATGATGTGGAAAACTCCTCTCCGATAGCATCCAATATTCTACGAAGATGCATGTACGTCGACGACGTTCTAGCGGGAGGACACAGCATTGACTCTGCGATAAATGCCAGAGATGAAATAACCCAAGTGTTAGAGTCAGCCGGTTTTCCATTAAGAAAATGGACTGCCAATTGCGAAGAGTTACTGAAAGACATTCCAAAAACGAATCTACTAACCGAAGATTTTCTTGAATTCGAAGAAACTAGCGCAGTGAAGGCTCTCGGCATAAGATGGAACGCCCATACGGATTTATTCTATTTTATGGCGAGACCATTAGAAGAAAGCGATAATCCAACGAAAAGGGCGATATTATCAGCTATCGCCAAACTTTTCGACCCCCTGGGGTGGCTCGCGCCCATCATAATCGTAGCCAAAATACTAATGCAGGGTATTTGGCTGGAAGGCACGGACTGGGATGAAACCGTAACTCCAACTACCCTGGATCGCTGGAAAAATTTTACACAACATTACCATGAGATCGATAACATACGAATACCTCGATGGGTACATTTCTCACCAACAGATGACGTCGAAGTACATGGCTTCTGTGACGCATCGGAAAAAGCGTATGCGGCTGCTGTATATCTGCGCGTTACACAAAATGCAAAAGTTTTCGTAAGTCTACTTTTGGCAAAAACAAAAGCAGCCCCAGTAAAGATTATCTCATTACCTCGATTGGAACTTTGCGGCGCCGTACTGCTTGCAGAAATCATCGAGACGGTACTGAGAAATCTTGACTTGGGACATTTAAAAGCGCACCTGTGGACGGACTCAACAATCGTTCTCGCGTGGATACGAAAGCCGCCTTGTTCGTGGATGACCTTCGTCGCCCACAGGATAACAAAAATAGTAGAAAAAGTTGGTAATAAGAA